ATATCTAGAATTGCCTGTTTCTAACTGCTGTAATTAGATTTTGCTTTTTCTTTTGTATTGCTCTGTTAAACTTCTGTTTGCTTCTGAAAGTGAACAATTTATAAATGAATACAAATGGTAATTGATATTACACAATGAAACTCTTTGAATACGTGTGTTATCAGAAGAGAGTTGATTATATGCATGAGAAATGAGACATTGCTTATTTGCCTATGAAATCTTATGCATAAGTCTTGGGACAATTATCTTTGCTTAAGTGTTCTAAATTTTTTCTTAGGCTCTGATGAAATAAATACGTATTTGGAGTTTGGGCTGAAGAGTGCTTTATAAAATGACAATTATCCTTTTTGCTTCTTCATAAAGCTGTAGAAAGTGGAGCAGTACCGTTAGAAATGCTGGAAATTGCCATATGTAATTTAAACCTACAAAAGAAGCAGCTGTTTTCAGAGGAGGAAAAGAAGGGTTTATCAGGTAACTATTAACGTGTGCTAATATTTTTCCACGGTAGATAGTACTGCAGAAAGGATTCAGAATAACTTTTTGTAGGACTAATATTTACATGGAATACTCAAAATCTGTTTAGTTGCAAATGGAAATGAGATAAGACTATTAGAAGTAAAAAGATCTTACCTACCTTGTTGATACTTATCTTTTGTGCCTAATCAAAATTTCATTGGTAACATTAAAAACAACTCAGTCAAAGCAAGAGAATGGCTTTGTGCTTATAGAAACAGAGTGTGCTGTTTATCCCAGGGAGACAATTTATAAAGAGAATTGAAGAGGTAATTAGAATTGCCTGATAACATCTTCATGTCTTCTTACAGGAGGGCAATTATTTATTATAAATTGATTTTTAAAATTTTCTTATGTGTAAGATTACTTTTTCTTTTTGATGGAAGTGGGGTTTGAACTCAGGGCTTTGCACTTGCAAAGCATGCGCTCTTATGGCTTGAGCCACACCTCCAGCCCTGTAAGATTACTTTTTGTGTACTTTTTATGTCCTTACAAATTTAACCACAGTTTTGAAATTTTTACAGCATCTACAATGTTTACTGCTCAAGACTCATTCTCCAGTTCAGTTGGACATTTACAAAAGTAAGGACATGGGTTGTGATTCCAGAGGACAGGCTACCAAAGCCAGGTTTTTGTATGGGTAAGAAAACTCATCATTTATGTAAGTATGTCTACATAAGAGTTTTTTTGTAAGTGTAACCATGTTTAGCAGTAAATGGAAATACACATGAATATTATTCTTTGAAAAACTGGGTACTTTCTTTTTGTTTAGAGAACATACCACCACAAGATGCCGAAATAAGTCATCGAAATCCCCTGAAACAAACTAACAAAACTAAACGGGTGAGTCACTTTCAGTCTGCTTTGATGAAGGTGGTGGTAGTGAAGTCTTTGCATTTCCCAGTTGATTACTCAGTCTTTCAAATCATTTCAGTCGTGCCCATTTGGAAGAGTCCCAGTTAACCTGCTAAATAGCCCAGATTGTCATGTGAAGACAGATGGTTCTGCTGTGCCAACTTTTACAAAAAGGTATGGTTGAGTTTTAATTTTTAAATTTGTGTATATTTAAAGATTGATGGCAGAATGGTTTTAAACTCTTTTTCACTGAGTAACAGTAATTATGATTAAAGTTTTTGGTATTTTTGTTCTTTTTGTTCCAGACTGGCCTGGAACTCACTATCTTCCTGCCTCCAATTCCCAAAGGTTGGGATTATAGGTGTGCACTACCATACCGGGCTGAAGTTACTGAGTTCCTAAATGCTCTCAGGAACAAAAAAATGAATAGAGAAAGTGACTTTTCAGGTTTTTCACTCATTAAAAATATTTATTAAAAAATTAGGAACATGTTAGAGTGAAGCTTAAAAGGCTGTCAACATCCTTGGAGTTAAAACTCCTGATGTTTGGGTATTTCTTCCTATGGGTCACCTCTTGGATAAGATTCTCTTCCTAGTGCATTTGAGAGTCTCCACAGCAGGGTGGAAGGTAAGGGGGAAGAATAGCTATCAGTGGGAAAAAAGGATGAATTCAATCATTTACTTTAGAGTTACGGACTTTAAGAAATGGGAGAGGGATTGGGGTGTACCTCTGATAGAGTGTGTACTTAACATGTGCAAGGTCCTGGGTTCAATCCCAGCACCAAAAACAGCAACAGATGAGTTAATTAGCTGCTGGGGAAGATGGTGCATGCCTCCACAACCCCAGGTAATAGGGAGGCGGAGCCCTTTGAATCTAGCTAGTTAGGGCCAGCCTGGGCAACATAGCAAGACTCCATGTCTTTAAAAAGAGAAAAAGCAAGGCTAGGTAGTGAAACATTGTTCCTCACATACAATATATTTCCCCTCAATTTGGGTGCTTATTCCCTTATAAGAAATAAGAATATGCCAGGCTTGGTGTCTCATGCCTGTAATCCCAGTACTTGGGAGTCTGAGGTAGGATGATCGTGAGTTTGAGGCCAGCCTGGGCTACATAGTGAGACCCTATATTAAAAAGCCAAAAAAGAAAAAAAGAAATGGGGTATAGTTCAGCTAAAGAAGAGAGTTTTTCTTACTTGTTCTTATTTCTAATTATGCGTATATCAATCATTTCACAAATACACCTGAGAAGCACAGCTTATTTTTAACTTGTATCTTCAATAATTAGTCCTGTTATATTTAAAACTTGAATAAATACTAATATTAAAGGGGCATTTTGTTTATGTGTATGTGTGTGTTGGTGTATGAGTGTGTACAATTGTGTGTTTTGTTTTGTCTGTGTAAGTGTGTGTGTGTGTGTCCTTGTGAATGTGGGTGTGTGTGAGTGTGTGTATGTACATATGTGTGAGTGTGTGAGGATGAGGGAGTCCTTGTGTTTCGGAGTGTGTATGGGTGTGTGTGTGTGTGTGTTGGCATCTATGTGTGTTGTTTGTATATGTGTATGTTTGTGAGTGTGTTTGTGTGTGAGTCTATTTTTGAGTATGAGTGAGTATGAATGAGTGTGTGAGTGAGTGTGAGAGTGGGTGCATATGTGATTTTGTTTGTGTGTGAGTGTAAGTGTTGGAGTGTATGTGTGTGGTAGTGTAAGTGTTGTGAATGTGTGTATGTGTGAGTGTATGTGTGTGAGGGTGTGCATGTGTAGGTGAATATATGTGTGAGAACGTGAACTTGTTTTTGTGTGAGGGTGTATGAGTCTGAGTGTGTGAAGGTGTGTGTATCTGTGTGTGTGAGTCAATGTGTGTATGTGTGTTTGCATGTAGGTGTGTATGTGTGAGTGTTTATGTGTGGGTTAGTGTGAGAGTGAGTGACTTAGTCTCTGTCAGTGTATTTGTATGTTAGTATGTTGGTAGTGTGTGACTGTCACTCAAGCCACTTGGGAGGTCTTCGGGAGAGGGCAGGGTGGAGAGAGGTGTTTCCTCAGCACCCTTCAGGGGTGGGGACTGTGTCTCTTATACCTGGGTCTTTGAGTTTTGACGGCTGTGTGAGAGGCAGGAGTTCCCAGAAGCTGCATGGGGCCCAGCGTGGGGCAGGCCCTGCTTCCCAGAGGGTCCTGATTATCCTGCTGGAGACCAGCAGCTTCAAGAAAGGAGGTTGAAGTAGGACTCCTTTGTCCTCTTACTGGCTTTGGCTCCCCCACTAAACTGTCTGTGGGAACCTAGCTCAGTGTTTCTGTCTTGTTCTTTTTCCTATCTGAAGTCTTATGTTTTCTTACTTCAAGAAAATAGTTTCACCAAAGTCTTCAGCTATCCTGCTCTATAGAAGAAAACATCCCTTTGATGCCCCAAGATGAAAAAAATATATTAAAATTATTTTCTAACCAAGTCTTGAGACAGGCCTCCCCCACCAGCCTCAGAAACTTAGCATCAGAGTAGACGTGGAGATAGCAGAAGATAAGCATGTTTTCTGATAGAACCTAAGAGTATCTGCGTTAGCTCTACTCTGGAGCTATTTCAGACTTTAGAAGAGGTGGCCCATGAATGCAGAACCAGAGAAACTGGCAGACACTGACGCCTCCCACTCAGAACCCCAGGCTTCAGACGAACTAAAAGTCAGGCGGATGGAGTTCACATCACTATATCTAGATCTTTCTCCACAACATGTCATGCATGCTTTCTAAACGTACTTCCAGGGGTGCTGATGGACTTACCACAAGAGGTAAAAGGGGTACCTATTTCACAAACAGGGACTTTTTTGTTTTGAGGTAGAGTCTTACTGTGTTGTCCAGACTCAACTAGTCCTCCTGCCTTAGCTGGAGTAGGTATATACCACCACATCTGGCCCAAATAGGTGATATTAAAAGAGTAACTCTGCTGGGCTCCAGTGGTTTACACCTGTAACCCTAGCTACTCAGTAGGCAAAGATCCTGAGGATTGTGGTTCAATGCCAGCCCTGGGCAAATAGTTCACAAGACACTATTTTGGAAAAAAAACTCTCACAGAAAAGGGCTCATGGAGTGGCTCAAGCAGGAAGAACACCTACCTAGCAAGTGTGAGGTCCTGAGTTCAAACCCCAGTACTGCCAAAAAAAAGAGTAACTGTCCAGATCCCCAGCCTCTGTGTTCTCTTTCCTCAAAAAAGCTTTACTGTGAAGTTGTCATGCCGGATCTCCTTCCCATTTTATCAGCTCACATAGAACTTGTATTACTTCCAGGGTGCCAAACTAAGAGGGAATTTATAAAACTGAGCCTCATCTGATCAAGGGTCCATGGACTATCCATTCGCCTCAGTAGGAAACATTTCCAATACAGTCATCAAAATGTAAGCGATTGTCCTAATCATATATTTAGTACTACTAATAATTATGGAAATTTGATGTAAAATAAAAAATTAACTTGTAGGGCTTTATGATCACAGGAATTTTTTTTTTGGTAGTACTGGGGTTTGATCTCAGGGTCTACGCTTTGAATCACTCCACCAACCCTTTTTTGTAATGGAGTTTTTCAAGATAGGGTCTCGCAAATTATTTGTCTGGGCTGACATCAAACCATGATCCTTCTGATCTCTGCCTGCTGAGTAGCTAGGATTACAACTTGAGCCACCAGCACCCATTCACAGGAAATTCCCCGCCCTCCCCCCCCCCAGGTGCTGGGGTTTGAACTCAGTGCTTTGTGCTTGCTAAGCAGGCGCTCTACCACTTAAGTTATACCTCCAGCCCAGGAAAATTTTTTTTCATTATTGTACTGGAAGTACATTGCAACATTTACAAAAGTACTGACAAGTTATCATAGTTGAATTCACCCCCTCCTTCATCTTTCCTCCCAGGAAGTTTTTTAAAATGAATTTTATTTATTATTTTGGTAGAACTGGGGTTTTAACTCAGGACTTTGCACTTGAAAAGCAGATGCCCTGTCACTTGAGCTACACCTCCATTCTTTAATTTTGAATTACATCCTTTTATTACAAAGTGTGATACATGATCAATGAAAAAACCTTGGGTTGGGAGGCACAGCTCAAGTGGTAGAGCGCCTGCTTAGCAAGTGCAAGGGCCTGAGTTAAACCCCATCATAAACACAAACAGTGCCCCATTTGATATGATGCCTGACATATTCATCTAGTTTGCACAACCACCAGTTCGCACAGCTGTCTTCAACCAAACTAGCCCCTTAGAGCCCCTCCTCCATCCAGACAGGAGTTGGAGCTTGGGCAAGCTGCTGGCTTCATAGCACTGGAAAGGACATCCCAGCTAATAGGCTTTCCAGGGCCTGAGGTGGACACAATGTTGTAGACACTCACCTTGCTGCTCAGAACCCAGGGAGAACAACCAGACCACTTTGGTGATAAGACACAGATTTGTTTTAATGACTTCCAAGGTTTAGTTTTATCTTCATGGCCTGTGATTTTTCTATGGAGTAAAATCATGCTAGAATTTAGGTAGCGGTAGAGGGACTTTGACCAAACTGAGGCAGGCGACTCAAGCAGGCTGTGGACAAGAATAGTCTTGAACAGCAGGCCTAACCCTGAGCTATGAATTAGAACGTGGCTGGAGCTGAGGACACAGAGCTAACAGGAAAGGGCCCAGGCTGCTGTCAGAACACACTTCCACACACCCAAGGCCAGGACCCTGCTGACGTGGCAGCACGCCATCCTGGCCCCTGACTGCCCCCCACCTCTCTCCGTGGCTTGCCAGCTGCCATCAGGCCTCTGCCCTGTATCTGCCACACCTGTCACTGTCTGTTCTTGTCCGCAGAGTGTTGGGGGTATCAGCCCCTCCTCTGCTGCCCAGCAGAGCAGGCAGTTAGTGGGGAGGGGAGGGAACATGGAGCGGGGGCGGTGGTGGGGGCTAGGGCCCAAATCCAGGCACTGCTGGGTTGCCTGGTCAAGGTGCTGCTCTGGGTGGCCTCTGCCTTGCTGTATTTTGGAAGTGAACAGGCTGCCCGCCTCCTGGGCAGCCCCTGCTTACGGCGCCTCTACCATGCCAGGTTGGCAGCTGTGGTCATCTTCGGATCCCTTCTGCAGTTCCATGTCAACTCTCGGACTATCTTCGCTAGCCACGGCAACTTCTTCAACATGTGAGTTCACTCAAAGCCCTGGGAGCAGGCTCCCTGCACTCTGAGAGCCCAGCTCCCTTCTTCGGGCTTCTGTTCTCCTGCCAGTCGGAACACTAAAAATAGGCTAGGTGGTTGAGAAGGTCAGGGGAGGGGGAGGGGAACAGAGCCTGGGGGTACAGGGCAAGTCAGGAATAGGGCTGAAGAGGAAATGTGGGCCCTAGAAGGCCAAGTTTAGGCATGAGATGGACTAGTTTAAATGACTGGGGCTGTCAAGGGTGTGGGAAGGAGAAGCGCTGCTGATGTGCAGAACTGGACAGAGTAATCCAGGGTGGAGGATGGGTTGGGGGTCTTAGCAGCCTTTCCTCTTCTCTGCCCACAGAAAGTTTGTGAATTCCGCATGGGGCTGGACCTGCACCTTCCTGGGGGGCTTTGTGTTGCTGGTGGTGTTCCTGGCTACACGGCGCGTGGCAGTGACCGCCAGACACCTGAGCCGACTGGTGGTGGGGGCAGCTTGTGGCGAGGGGCCGGCCAGGCCTTCTTCCTCATTGAGGACCTGACTGGTTCTTGCTTTGAGCCTCTACCCCAGGGCCTGCTGCTCCATGAGCTGCCTGACCGCCGCAGCTGTCTGGCTGCTGGCCACCAGTGGCGGGGCTACACAGTCTCCTCCCACACCTTCCTGCTCACCTTCTGCTGCCTGCTCATGGCCGAAGAAGCAGCAGTGTTCGCCAAGTACCTGGCCCATGGGCTGCCGGCTGGCACACCCCTGCGCCTTGTCTTCCTGCTCAATGTGCTGCTGCTGGGCCTCTGGAACTTCTTGCTGCTCTGTACTGTCGTCTGTTTCCACCAGTACACTCACAAGGTGGTGGGTGCTGCAGTGGGCACCTTTGCTTGGTTCCTCACCTATGGCAGCTGGTATCATCAGCCCTGGTCACCAGGGAGCCCAGGTCATGGGCTCTTCCCCCACCCCCACTCCAGCCGCAAGCATAACTGAAAGAAATAAAGGCACATCAGGCCTGGCTCTGGCTCCTGTCATCATTTATTTGGGGCCTGGAAAGAGTGGGTAGGGTAAGAATAAGGTCTAGTGCCGGGCCACAGTGGTTCACCTCTGTAATCCTACCTACTCAGGAGGCAGAGACCAGGAGGACTGTGGTTTGAAGCCAGCCTAGGCAAATAGTTCTCCAGACCTTATTGAAAAAAAAACCATCACAAAAATAGAAGTGGTAGAGTGGCTCAAGGTGAAGGCCTTGAGCTCAAACATCAGTACTGCAAAAAAAAAAAAAAGAAAAATGAAAAATGATGTTGCTGGCATTCCTTAGCTATCCCTGATGTCATCAACTTTGTCCTTTTTTTACATGATCTCTGTCTCCCCTGCTGTTCCCCTCCATTCATTCTCCTGGTCTGCAGACGTCTAGCAATCTGGGACTGTGATATCAAAGAATGGTGCTACTAAGGCAGATAACAGTGCCCTTTGTTATATATATATATATTCTATGAAATATATTCATAGAATTCTATGAAAATAGAAGAATGAGGTGGGTCATGCCTGTAATTCTAGCTACTCAGGAGGAGAGGTCAGGAGGATTGTGGTTCAAAGCCACAAGCCAAAGTTTTATATATATATATTTTTTTTTTTTTTTTGAGGTACTGGGGATTATACCCAGGGCCTGGTATGTGCTAGACAAGTGATCTGCGCTGAGCTATGCCCCCAGCCCTTGCTTTTTTAAAAAAACTTATCAGTATATAATATTTGTACAGGGGGATACATTGTAATATTTACATCTGTGGTTGCAATATATCTTAGTTAGATTACCGCCTCCATGTTTCTCCCTCTTTCCTCCTCCCCCATTCTTAGAGAACAATTTCAACAGGTTTCATCTTCTATTTGTGTGTGGGGGTGGGGTGGTGGTACTGGGGGTTGAATTCAGGTCCTACAAACTACATCTTGAGCCACTCAACCAGCCCTTTTTTGTGAAGGGTTTTTTTCAAAATTGGGTCTCGTGAACTATTTCCCCAGGCTGGCTTTGAACCACAATCCTGATCTCTGCCTCCTGAGTAGCTAGAATTACAGGCATGACCCACCGGTGCCTGCTCATTCTTCTATTTTCATAGTTCTTTTGTTTTTATTTTGTTTTTGAGACAGGATCTCACTGCTACCTTTACCTGGGCTGGCCTTAAACTTGAGATCCTTACGCCTCCTCTTCCTGAGTAGGTGAGATTACAGACAAGCACTACCACACTCAGCTTATTTTTCTTGCTCTACTGAATCTCTCCTCTGCCTTCCTCAGAGGCCTGCCTACCTGGGCACCCCACACAGGAACCCTTTTCTACCTCAGTCTTCCTCATAGCAGGTGTGTGTACTCCTTAACAGATACTTACTGAGCTAAGCGTAGTTCCATGTAATGTGAATAAGACAGACATGGTTTCTGCTGTTAGGAGGCAACTGAGAAACACAAGTAGTAATAGCAAACATGTGCACTGTGCTTTCTCTCTTCCAGGCACTGTTCTACATGTCTATAAATTCCTCCTATAAATTAACATTCAGTCCTTACCACACATGAGGTAAGGACTATTCTATTCTGCATCTATTCTTTGATAGATGCAGAAATCAAGTCTGGGTGTTCTGTAATTAGGAACTTCTTTACTTGCTACCAGGATTACCGATACGCTTTTTGACTTTTAGAAACTCTACTCTCTTCCTCCACAGATGGATGAAAACGTCTTCAAGTACACATAGATGTACACACTTCTGGGTATGCAAAGAAAAATAAAGATGCCTTTGACGAGAAATGCCTCTTCTGGATAGACCCTTCATAATGAGAAAGAAGCTTCCTGTGCAGTAGGGTCATTTCCTGAGAAAGTCCAACCCACATCCTTGTAGATTTTATAACGAACATTTGCTTAAAGTCTCTTCTACGGTCTTGTCTCTTCCGTCCTCTTCTTGACCATTTGCTGTTGCATAGTTATTAGGTGTGCATTTTCTAAGATGAAATACTGGAAAATAAATAAATCAGCTACTTCTCAATTCAAAGTGCTTCTTTGGGTATGTTACATAATTTTACATGGTGCGTGGAGAATTTAACTCATTGTGAATTATTGCTTCATCTAATACTGTGGTTCTTACATGCTTCACACACTTTACACTTTTTATTTTGTATGTTTCTGTATTTCCTTCTCATCTGGCTTTTCCTACTGGATTATGTTATTTTTCTTTTGTTTTCTCCAGAGGTTTGGATGATATGTGTGTCCCATTTATAATTCTGCCATTTTAAATAGAAAACATAAAGAGTATTTCCAGAATTATCAGAGCATGATCTGATATTTCAGTGCCTTTTCTATTTAGTCCACCCTTACTCCACATAATTTTTACTACCTGCGCACTTATCCTGTTAATGATTTTCTTTCACGCGTAAAGAGTGACTTAATTCCAAGTTATTGAATCTTTTGCTCTGTACAATACATTGTTGTCATTTTTAAATTGTACATACTTTTTCAATGACTGAGATCAGTGGTGAAAGGCAAATATATGCTACATTTAATAATGCCTTTCCATTTTCTTGCAGCATCTCAACCCCTTTGCAAAGCAGAGCATTTTACAGAGAAGTAACTAACCGTATTGAACGCTTCCTCATCAAATGTCTATTTGAGCAGTACTGCAACTCGCAATTTACATTTTGGAGACCTCAAGACTTCGATTTTCTTTTCTTTTTCAGTAAAAAGGTTTTTTTCAAATAGCTTATTTCAGGAAAATAAACTAGGTGCTATATTTTAAGTCTGGGCATCTTATTAAATTTTTTTATGAACTATTAACTTTATATGAATGACATTTTAAAACATTTTCAGTATTTTGCTTTGAGGTAACATTTACATAAAATAATTTGAAACCCTTTTAAGTGGATGAGTTTTAACAAAAGTCAAAGCATCACCAACATCACAACTACAATGTTATCTCAAAGGTTTGCAGTCAATCCTATCCCTTCTTTTGACCCCAATCAACCTACTTTAGTTTATTTCTGTCACTATAGATTAGTTTTACCTGTTCAGGAAAAACATAGCAAGATGTAAGCTCTTATGCCTGGCATCTTTTATTCTGTCTGCTTTTGAGATTGGCTATTTTTCTATGAATTAGGAGTTTGTTCCTATGGTTTGTTGGGTAGTAGTCTATTGGATAGATGAACCCAAAAAATTTTTTTAAGCCAGTCACTTGTTGATAAGCACTTAGGTGGCTTCCAGGTTGGGACAATAATAAGTAAAGTAAGTGAACATTCATGTACAAGGCTCTGTGGACATATGTTTTCATCTGGGAGTAGATGAAGAGTAGAGTTACTCAGTTATATGGTAACTGAATGTTTAACTTCACAAGAAACTTGCAAATTGTTTTCCAAAATGGTTCTACCATACTGCATTGCTACCAGCAGCTCATAGGCTTTCTGCCTGTCCTACCTGTGCAGGAGTAGTAGCTTTGGTTTTGGTTTTCAATTGTTTATTAGCCATTCTACTAATTATGTAAAAGAATCTCATTAAGATTCAACTTGTATAGATTGTTTGTGTTAAATAACTTTCATATTTATTATTCATACCAGTATTTTATTTTGTGAAATATCTATTTAAATCATTTACTCATTGTTATTGGGCTCTTTGGTTTTTATGTTAGGGGGTTCTTTATATATTATAAATGTAAATATTTTGTCAAATATATAGATTACATATTATTTTCAGTTAGTCTTTGGTTTTCTTTTTTGCTTTTTTAATGGATTATTTTACAGAACATAATCTTTAATTCTGATGAAATCCAAGATATCAAATTTCTCATCTATAGCTAGTGGTTTTTGTTGTAAAAAATTTTATTAAAAAATTATTATAAAGTATAATTATATTATATAATTATATTTTTAAAAATACTTATTGTCTCAACCTGGAAAGCCACCTAAGTGCTTATCAACAGGTGACTTGTTTAAAATTTTATTTTTTGGTTCATCTATCCAATAAAATACTACTAAGCAAACCCTAGGAACAAACTCCTAATTCATAGAACAAATAGCCAGTCTCAAAGGAGGCATAATAACAGATGCCAGTGTACCCCCCAAACTAGGAAAACTGTCTTTTAAGTACATAAATTCACTCCCTTGGGCCTCACGTTTGATTTTTTTTAGATATCTTTTTTGTTTTGTTTTGCTGAGTCAGGGTTTTGTTATGCGATGCAGTTCATCTTAAAAAAACTTCTATGTAGCTCACGCTTGCCTCACACTTGCAGTTCTCCTGCCTCAGCCTTCAAGTGTGAGGAATACAGCTGTGAACCACCATTCCCAGCAAGCCTTTTGCAATTCTTTCAAACTATCAAAGTAATATTTATCAAATATTTATCTAATTCACCACACATTTATAAACAAATTCTTACATAAACTCAAAACAATTGAAATGAATTGTTGTCTTCATTTTGGATAAAAAATGTGAAAGATAGCTTAAATAAGCTAAAGTCCAGATTTCAAAACAAGTAGTCTTTTTCCAAGGCCATCTTATGTGACCCCATATTTCATTTTATCCAATAAGATATCCAGTGCATTGCTTTTTTAAAATTGATCTTTTGTCTTCATCCAAGTTTGTCTATCTTTATATCTGCACCTGACTTATAGTTCTTTAAACCCACTGAAAACTTCATGAAATTTTCTTTTTTATTCCATAGTGTACTTTTTAGGGCTAGTTTATTTTCCTTCACTAATTCTTTACCACTCTTTCCTCCATTCATGTCATTAGAAACCAGATTTCAAATAATTATTGCATTTCCTTGTTCAAGCAAGCTAAAATAAATTCAAATTTAATTTCTCAATACAAAGCACATAATGTCCTTGTAAGATTTTTATATACCTCATAAACATTGTATTAATCTATTTTGTGGTACTGTAACAGAAAACCTGATGCTGGATAATTTATAAGTAAAAGAGGTTTATTTGGCTTATAATTTTGGAGGGAAAAAGTCCAAAATTAGGCTGCCTCATCTACTTGGCTTTCATTACCTGCTCCCCTGGCTATTTCACAGCATGGAAAAGAAGCAGAAAAGTGTTAAAAAAAAAAAAAAAACTTGGGTCATCAGAAAAGAATTTAAGGATAGACACAGAGAAGACTTAAATAAGAGTAGGTTTATCAATTTAAAAACAAAGTGAAAGCAAAATATAGGGAAAGTACACCCTTCAGATGGCG